CGCATCAAATATCCCGATCAGTCACCTGGTATTCCCTTTGTAAGTTTATTTCATAGTTGGTTCACATTTGATTGTATGATTTCTTTCTGTGAGACATATGGCTCCTATCGCTTCTGCTTTGAATTTATCATTATTTTCTAGATCTGTTTTTTTGTGGCTTACTTTTCCTTAGTTTTAGGCATATTTTAATAACCAGAGCATCATAATCATTTCCACAGTCCATGCCAGATATGTTTTTATATCTTTTACTGATGTCTTCTATCTATTTATAACCAAGATGTAATTTTGATTTGATTTCTTATCTTGCCATCAGGTGACGTCTATGTGTACGGACAGCGAATGTGATATTGAAAATATGTATATTCAATGTTGAGAGCTAATTTACAGTACAGAAATAATGTACAGTTACAGAAATCCAGGAACATTTCTCTTCGTTTGTTTTGTGATCTAGTGCCGAATCTTCCCATGACAGATCTTCGGTCACCTTATTCATTATTTCCTATCTTTATATTGAAATCATAGATGACAAATAGCATTTCTTTATTGGGAATTCTTCTAACTGCTTCGTTCAGTTTTTCTACTTCTTCTTAAGGAGATTGGAATGTACTTGCATAACATTCATTGACCGGCTTTTATCCTACGGAATCGATTTTATTATTTATTATTTTGTATCCTACTGTATCCTTGGTGTATTTATTTATTATTATTGCAACACCATTTTTATGTTCAAGTTCATTGCTGGAACATTTCACTAGGTTACTACTAGTAGATATGAAGTGACCACTGCTTTTCAAATGGTTTTTGATACTCCCAGATTACGATCTTCTCTATCGCTTTTTTCAATATTTGTAGTTTTCTGTTTTTTTTTTTCAGATGCCAAATATTCCAGATATAGAACTTCATCATCCTTTGTCTACAATTTTGGCAGTCACATATTTTTCATGAAAGCCTTGCCCACTTCTTCATAATTAGTAACTTATTTCACACTTGCGATTCTGAGGTCGAAGAGCTGATTGCCAATTGGGTTGCATAGCATCTTATCATTTGATCCATATCGCATATTCGGATTCTCTTGGAAAGGTTACCACAGTAGGATCTCTCTCCTTTTTGCGCAGTTATACCAGTGAAACGCTTATACATGTAATGCATCTAACCAATCATCCATTGGACTCTTGCCTATACTATTTAACGGCAAAGCCGCTGTTCTTTGCTGTTCTTTGTCTAACTATCTTCGCCTATTTAGTTTGCAAGCCAATGTCAGGATGTGTGGAGCAAAAAGCGAAGATTGGGTATCCTGCGAGGACCAATTGTCTGAGATCTTCTTTTTGCCTATATTGTTCGAAGTGACTGCTCAAGCGGAAAAATATTACTTCTGTAACGCAACCCAATATTCCTATTAAAGAGATGACACATTAAATCTCAAGACTTATCATACTGACGATGGAGAACAGTTTTGGATATTTGAACGTTGTAACTCCAAGACTTTGATTATTTGACTTGATGATTATTGAGACTTTTGATCAATAAATCAAAACTTATCTCATATTAAAATTTCAGCCAATTTGACCAGGACTCCATTTTTATAAGAATCGTGCGGAGTCTTTTTAACGCAACATTTAATCCGCTGTGCTACGCTAACATTTGACAAACGTTTTACTATAGTAGTACTAATAGAATGTGCTAAGAAAACCGCAATTTCTCGTCAATAGTCAAGAAGGGCATCGTCTCTGAATAATATTTGTTACTTCTATGCTTCTATTATATTATATTCTAGCAAAAGTTTGATAAATTTGGTGACTTGAAAACTGAAAGCTCCCCTGTAAAATAGTACTATATTTATTGTTTAGTAGTAATATTGCGACTAAACAATAAATTAAAGAAAAAAATTTGTATTATGTAAAACTTATTTTAATATATTGTTAATGTTAAACAATTTTCCTAGATTTGCCGATGAAGAAGATCCAGCAGATTATGTGGAAGATTTATGTGAGAGTATGCACTTCTATCCATCACACGATTATATAACTGGAAATGAGCTTTATTTTGAGTATAATCCAGAAGCTATACAAAAATGTTTGGATTACTTAGTGCCAGAAAAGGCGAATATTATGATTTTTAACGAGGAATTCGATTGTCTTGAATTAGATAAAGTCGAGCCATGGTTCAAAACCAAATATACAGACATTGAGATACCAAGCGAATGGATTGAACGTTGGAAATTCATCAAGCCATTGCCCGATTTCCATTTACCATTAGAGAATACATTCCTAACCAGCGACTTTTCTTTAATACCAATATCAGCAGATGTTCCAAAATATCCTATAAAATTACATAATGATCATATATCAGAGATTTGGTATCGTCCAGATCCCAAATTTCGTTTGCCAGAATGTTATATGAACTTTCATTTTGTCTCTTCACTGGGACTTCAATCGCCAAAGAAGTAAGTAACAACATAGAAATTATATCAAATGATATTGATAGTGTCTTATATCTCACAATAATGACACTAGTAGCACATTTTTACGCAAATCGACCAGTTGCAAATATCCGAGATCATCGGATCTCAGAAATGATTAAACTAATCAAACTCTTAGTATTTAGTAATCGATAGTTTGAATTGCATAAGAAAAATTCCTTTATTTTTATTATTTGCTTGTCTTATGAGCAAAGGTGTATCAATGCAAAATTGAAATCTATAAATTTCTTATTAAGAAACATCTTGTTCGTCATTGTCTGATTGTTTTTGCGTCAAATGACTTTAATATAGACAATTTTTTTATTTTCTGATTAACTATAAATGCATATACGCATATTTTCACATACTGATATATCCAGAGTCTTATATTTCTACATGCTTGCACTTTCACCTCTATATTCCTATATATCTATGCATTTTTATATGTTCATTCTTTTACACAGTCATGTATCTCAGCATTTACACACTTATTCCTCTATATGCCCATACATTCACTATCTCATATTCTTACATATTTGTATATTTATACCTCTATATTCCTATAAGTCCACTCAAATTTATATGTGTATTTACTTTTTTTATACATTCATCTTACCTATATACTTATAGATCCATGCGTTCACATATCCGCTGATTCATATTTTTATATACTTTTACACTTTTATGAATGAGTTCTTAGAAATTTATTAAACTTTATTAAACTTATGGTTCGGCTCTCTCGAGCAGCCAAGTTGATTTTATGAGGCAAGAAATAACATACAATAATAACTTTGAAAATTTTAACTTTATGTTTAACTTTTCCTTAAAAATCTTACTTATTTAACAGAAAATTAAACAATAAAGCTAAAATTCGTAAAGTTTTTATTGCATGTCATTTTTCACCTCTCCCGTCATACATATTAGGTATACAAAAAAGTTCTGAGCTTTAGATTTTATACAACCGAAATAACAATTTAAATTTTATATATCTTCTCGTCCTTTTGCGATTTTAAAGGTTTTGACATTTGGTCTTCTAAAATGCCGGTTTAGCGTTTGATGCACATAACTTCAAAAATCAGTAGTGTTCACGATGGCAATAACAAAAGAGCATATTCGATTTTCCATCCACTTCGCGTTTCATCTGAAGAAAAATGCTGCTGAAGCCACTGCAATGATTTGTGCTGTATATGGAGAGAACGCTGTAAGTCATACTACATGTAAAAGATGGTATCAAAAATTTCACCAAAGAAATTTCACCAAAGAAATTTCAGTCTTGAAGATGAACCGCGTGCTGGACGCCTTCAAAAGATTGAAACGGACGAATTGCAAGCACTGCTGGATATAAACTCTGCGCAAACTGAAAAGAAGCTTGCAGAACAGCTTACGCGTTAGCTTAGGCGTTACGCAGCAAACTATTGCCGTACGTTTACATACGATAGGAAAGGTTCAGAAGGAAGGTAGATGAGTTCCGCATGAATTGTCCGAAGACAACCAAAATCGTCGGCGTGACACTGCACTCACTTTGCTTTCAAAGTTCCGGAAAAAAGATTTTCTGCACAAAATCATTACAGGCGATGAAAAGTGGATTCTTTATGATAACCCTAAACGTAGAAAATCATGGGTTGACCCTGGTCAACCTTCGACATCGACGCCAAAGCCCAATATTTATGCCAAGAAGGTTTTGCTCTGTATCTGGTGGGATTGGAAAGATGTGTTGTATTACGAGTTGTTACAACCGGGTGAAACAATCACGGCAGACCGCTACCAACAACAATTGACCCATTTGAGTGCATTAGAAGAAAAGAGGCCATTTACTGGCCAAGGACGTCGTAAAGTGATCTTGCTTCATGACAATGCTCGACCACATGTTGCGAAAGCGACTTAGGACCATATCTTTGCGTTAGGTTGGGAACTTCTCCCGCACGCGGCGTACAGCCCTGACATGGCGCCTTCTGATTACCTATTCCAGTCGCTGCAGCATCATTTGGCTGATACACATTTCGTGAGATTTGAAGAGATACGAAAATGCATTGATGACTTTATCGCTTTGAAGCCGGTGAGCTTCTATCGGCAAGGAATTTGCAAGTTACCCGAAAGATAGCAAAAGGTCGTTGATGCAAACAAGGAATATTTCGCTGAATCGAATTAATATTTTT